TGAATCCTGTCATGAAAGATTGAGAGGGAGCAGAGGGTAGGAGAGGGTGTGGTTCCTCAAGTCCTGAGCTCTCAGGATCCTGGCGTGGAGCTCTCGAACACAGAGTGTGGTCCTAGCCCAGCAGCAGGGCACCACCTGGGAGTTAGAATTCATACCCAGCCACACCCACTGAGTCAGGATGTACACATCAAGGTTGAGCAGCCTGCTTTGGTCATTCATTCGGACATCCTCATTATCCTCCCCTTCCTCCTCCTCCTCCGCTTCCCCCTCCTCTCCCCTACCTCCTCCGCCTTCCCCCCTCCCTCCTTCCTCCTCCTCCCACCCCCTTATTCTTCCCACTCTCTTCCTCCTCCTCCTCCTCCTCCTCCTCCTCAGTAGTTCCTTTTATTTTAATATAATTTATTGTCAAATTAACTTCCATACAATACCTAGTGCTCATCCCAACCAGTGCCCTCCTCCCTTCCCATCACCCACTTTCCCCTCTCCCCCACGCCCCATCAACCCTCAGTTTGTTTTCTGTATTTAAGGGTGTCTTATGGTTTGCCTCCTTCTCTCTCTGTTTGTAACTGTTTTTTTCCTCCCCTTCCCTTCCCCCATGGTCTTCTGTTAAGTTTCTCAAGATCCGCATATGAGTGAAAACATATGGTATCTGTCTTTCTCTGACTGACTTAGCCTAATACCCTCCAGTTCCATCCACGTTGCTGCAGATGGCATGATTTCATTCTTTTCTCATTGCCAAGTAGTATTCCATTGTATACATAAACCACATCTTCTTTATCCATTCGTCAGTTGTTGGACATTTAGGCACTTTCCATAATTTGCCTATTGTTGAAAGCGCCGCTGTAAACACTGGGGTACACGTGCCCCTATGCGTCAGCACTCCTGTATCCCTTGGGTAAATTCCTAGCAGTGCTATTGCTGGGTCATAGGGTAGATCTATTTTTAATTTTTTGAGGAACCTTCACACTGTTTTCCAGAGCGGCTGCACCAGTTTGCATTCCCACCAACAGTGCATGAGGGTTCCCGTTTCTCCACATCCTCTCCAGCGTTATAGTCTCCTGATTTGTTCATTTTAGCCACTCTGACTGGTGTGAGGTGGTATCTCAGTGTGGCTTTGATTTGTATTTCCCTGATGATGAGGGACATTGAGCATCGTTTCATGCATCGGTTGGCCATCTGGATGTCTTCTTTGGAAAAGTGTCTATTCATGTCTTCTGCCCATTTCTTCACTGGATTATTTGTTTTTCGGGTGTGGAGTTTGGTGAGTTCTTTAACAGATTTTAGATACTAGCCCTTTACCAGATATGTCATTTGCAAATATCTTTTCCCATTCCGTCAGTTGCCTTTTAGTTTTGTTGATTGTTTCCTTTGTAGTGCAGAAGCTTTTTATCTTGATGAGGTCCCAGTAGTTCATTTTTGCTTTTAATTCCCTTGCCTTTGGAGATGTGTCAAGTAAGAAACTGCTGCAGCTGAGGTCAAAGAGGTTGTTGCCTGCTTTCTTCTCTCGGGTTTTGGTGGTTTCCTGTCTCACATTCAGGTCTTTCATCCATTTTGAGTTTATTTTTGTGTATGGTGTAAGAAAGTGGTCTAGTTTCATTTTTCTGCATGTTACTGTCCAGTTCTCCCAGCACCATTTGCTAAAAAGACTGTCTTTTTTCCATTGGATACTCTTTCCTGCTTTGTCAAAGATTAGTTGGCCATACATTTGTGGGTCCAATTCTGGGTTCTGTATTCTATTCCGTTGGTCTGTTTGTCTGTTTTGTGCCAATACCATACTGTCTTGATGATTACAGCTTTGTAGTAGAGGCTAAAGTCTGGGATTGTGATGCCTCCTGCTTTGGTTTCTTTTTCAGTATCACTTTGGCTCTTCGTGGTCTTTTGTGGTTCCATACAAATTTTAGGATTGTTTGTTCTATCTTTGAGAAGAATGCAGGTGCAATTTTGCTTGGCTGCGTGTTAGAATCACCTGAAATGCTTGCACAAATTCCAGTGCTGGGCCTGTCACATTAAGTGAGAATTCCTAGGTGTGGGACCCAGATACTCTTAATTATACTTTACTTTAAAAATTATTTAGCACCCCAGGTGATTTTCCTGTTCAGCCAAGATCAAAAACACCCAGTTTAACTAGTGTTTCTTAAACTTGAATGTACCTCTCATTGATCAGGAGATCTTATTCAAATGCAGATCCTGATTTTGTAGGTGTGGAGGGGCCTGAGATTATGCATTAAAATTTTTTTTTAATGTTTATTTATTTTATACTTTTTAAATGTTTGTTTACTTTTGAGAGAGAGAGCGTCAGCAGGTGAGGGGCAGAGAGAGAGAGGGAGACACAGAATCTGAAGCAGGCTCCAGGCTCTGAGTTGTTAGCACAGAGCCCAACACGGGGCTTGAACCCACCAACTGTGAGATCATGACCTGAGCCGAAGTTGGATGCTCAACCGACCCAGCCACCCAGGTGCCCCGAGATTAATATATTTCTGATATGGTCCCTAGTGATGCCCATGCTGCTGACCTGATAAGTATATTTTGAGCTGCAAGCATCTACTAAGTTAACTTCCCAGTTTTATAACCAAAGAAACCGAGGGTCAGAGAGGGAGATGTGACTCCTCCAAGGTAACCCAAGGTGTTACTTACTCATTCAGTACTTCCTGAGCACTGGTTCTGTGCCAGGCAGTGTGCTGGATGCTGGGAATAAGACTGACCTCATTGCTACCCTCACAGAGCTCATATTCCAGTGGGGGAGACAGACAGAAAGTAAGTATCTAAGCTCATTACAGATCAGGAGAAGTGCTCTGGAAGGTGCTAGGGAAGGTATGACTTGGCTGTGGCTGTAGGTAGGTATGGAAGAAGGCATGTCACTTTCGGGATAGTGGTCAGGGAAGTTACTAGAACCATGGCTTTCACTGGTGTCTTTTTTTTTTTT